AGGCATTGGGAAGCTAAATAAACAGGCTCCCACCAGCTGCCATTATAGTTATTCGTGTGTCTGTCTCCCTGGGCACTGTCAGGTCTGTATCTTCTGGTGTATGGGCACTTTCTGTCTTTTGTGTCTAGGTGGTGAGTCCTTCAGACTAGACTCATATCCCAGAGGGTTCCTTTCTCTGTCTTTTCTGACAAAATAATTATCAGTGCAATCAATTTAACATCTTCATGTTCACATCCTCTTCTCCACTCCTGCAAAAGTGGTTAGCTTGTAAGTGAGGTTAAGGAATTCAGATTTTACCCTGAAAGTCATGTGCATTCCTGAAGGGCTTTAAGTGGGGGCAGCATAGGGTTATACCTGCATTTTTGAAAGATTGCTCTGGACATAAATAGCAAATGGACTGGTGTGGGTGGCAAACATGGGACACGAGGACATCAATTAGGAGGCTATCGATGCAGTCCAGGTGACAAGTGATGGTAGCATGGACGGATCATGTCTATGGAGACAGCTAGAGAGAGCTGAGAGGCAACTACAGATGAATCACTGGATCAGCTGCTGCATTACCCTGGAGGAAGGAACGAGGGCCAGAGAACACAGAGGGTGGTGTAAGTCTCTGGCTGGAGCAACCAGGTGGAAGGCAGGGCTGCTCACTGAGACAGGAGACAGTGAGGAGAAGCTGGTCTGAGTGGGAGAAAGTGGAAGAAGAAGAAAAGACAGTGATGGGTGGTGTCTGATGAGAAGAGAGCAGAGCAAATGCAGGCACCGCCCTTTCTCCTTACCCTCATGCCTCTATTCCACAGTCCAGCTCACAGTTCTCTGTGTCTATTCCACAAACACCATCCTCTAAAAATGTTCTAGGCTTAAAATCTCCTGTGAAATCTGATCTCGGTGCATGGCAACAGTACTGCATTGAGGTCTGAAGATGGAGTGGGTCCAGACAGGGCCCTGACCCACCAACATGCTGTACAAACTTGGACGTATCTCCCAACTGCTCTGAGCGTTTTTGATTTTCTCTTAAGTGAAAATTTTGGAAGTAATGTTGTCTAAGATAATTCTCTACCAGTTGTCAAATGTCGTAATTCTTCATTTTAGTAATTGTCTTTGCCAAGACTCCACGGTACATATTTCAGAAACAGAATGGTATGGCTGAACTTAGGAAGTAATGACTGTACAGAGCAGAGTGTATAGTCACACTGCAATGATTTTTAGTTTCTCAGTTTGAGGAGTTAATATTAGGTCATAGTAAAACAGAGAGCCAGCTTATCTAAATCCAAATCCCATCTCAACCACCTCTAGGTATGTGATCAGAACAAATTATAGAACTCTGTGACTCAGTTTCACCATCTGCAAAATGGGTGCAGGATCATCGTGACAGTGATATAAATTAATATATGTAAAGTACTGTATGTGTTAGGTAATCACTCTTTGGAGTATTTACTCTCCAGCCTGACTCTTTTATCTATAAAATAAGATAACTAATAACTACTTATTAAAAAGAATATAGGGGAAATTAAATAAAATCATATATCTACTTAAAACATACAACACAAACCCTATTTCTTCCTAAGTATTTGATCAATATTGGTAGATAACCACAACTAGAACCTGGCTTCCAATCCCATTCCAGTTTACCAAGAATAAACTGTGTCCTTTTTGTGTGTTCATGACGAGAGAAGTAACTCAAGTGCTGTGCTGTCATTTTCCTCCTGGTGTTTGATAAGCTTTTATTTCAAAATAATACCAAGTTTTTCTCAGTGGCTTTCTTTTTAAGTAACACAATGTGACTTGGCTTAGCAGTTTCCATTCTCTACTTAGTACTTGAAGGTCTGTTTCTCCCCAGGACAATTTTAAAGTAGAAATAGACATGCTGGTGCTCTTTCTCCTGAATTGAGGACCTAGCTTCCACTTATTGAAAATGAGTTCAAGGAAAAATGAGAAAGGATCATGTAATTATGCTTGTTTCCATATTCTTTTAGAACCACTGCTCCTAGCAGAAGCTTTGTGTTTTGCCCTGAAATTCTGAAGCTTATGAAAACAATAGCAACACAGGTCTTGAAGAGTAAAAATTGCTGTTCTACACTTAATATAAATGGAAATGTTCCTTTGGAGAATAACACTCCCCAGACAACTTATCGTAGGCATTAATGAGTGTGCACTTGATGAAAGAAAAGACAAAGCTCGGAGTGGGAAAAGGGAACCAGATGGTAGGAGCCATGGCTCTGCAGCATTGCCAGCATGACCGGAAAGAACAATAATGAAAGAAGGGGGCAAGTCCTCTTCTTCATGTTCCGTCCCCCGACCCCTGGATCTCTCCATGAGTATGATGACTAAACTGGCAAGATTTGTATTTAAATTCAGAAGAAAAGAGGAAGTGCAAACTTTTCAATTGCCTCTTATTTTAGACCTGACTGTGCTTCCCACCCCCTCTGGCCTGCTGTTCTCCCTCATCTGATGTAAATTATGTACATCAGAAAAGCAGTGACTCATGCAGCAAAGGTTTGAGGAAATATGTGGCTTAATGAAGAGGAAAGGAAGTCTGATACTGTTTGCAAAAAAAAGTACTTCATTTTGTATCACATTCTGCATATTCCACTTCATTTTGGGCACAGATTTTCAAGAGCCTAACAGTGAAGAAGGTGACAGCAGGGAGCCTGGCCACACATACCCTTGCAGAATTCTCTGAGTTCCCCCTTGTCTTTAATGTACCTAGTTGGCAGCTACATGGTTTGATTTATGCTAGGTGCTGTGTAGAACAGAAATGTGTTGCAATTAACAATTGAAGAAGTCAAGAATAGACAAGACTGTTAGAACATCTGTCCTGGGTCTCTCAAATATACGGTTTTCTTTGTGTTGTTCTAGGGAATTGGGTCCAGGTGCAACAGTCAATAAAACCTTCTCAATGGCTACCGTACATAAATCGTGTCCTTATCCTGGTCTCTACCCTCCCCCTTGCTTCAGAAATTAAAGGTTGGGATGCAGGCACATGAGTGAGGAGTCAGGGTCCAGTGGCTGCTGTCTAGAAAAGCAGAGCCCCATGTGACTCTCAATTGCTAAGTCACAGCATTTGGTGTAACAGCCCAGGGTGGTGGTCCTCCAGGCTAACAAAAGTAACCTAGAAATAGATTCTAGAAATACGGGCAGCCTCTAGAAGCTGCAAAGGCAAGGAGCAGACCCTCCCTCCAAAAGGAATGCTGACCTGACACACCTTGATTTTGGCCCTGCAAGAGCCATTTCAGACTTCAACCTCTAGGTAGTCAATTTGTGTTGTTTAAGGTCGCTAAATTTATTATAGCAACAATAGGAAACTAATACTCAGGACTCACTGTAACTGGACTCCCTCATTTTGCAGATAAGGAAAACTGAAGTTTGCCAACTTTGTATGAAATCACATGGCTAGTTAACAATGGTTGCTGATAACATGGAGCGATTCCTCTGTGTTAAGCACAGTTCTAAGCCCTTCGTGTGTACAAACCTAGGAGAACATTGGCATGACACTAAGGCAGTGGCTCTCGTTCTTATTCCTATTTTACAGAGGAAGAAACTGGGGCTCGGTGATATTAAAGCCATGCATGTATTCAGCAGGCTGCTAAGGGTTTGTCCAGGGGCAGTTCAGCTCCGGGATGGACTCTTCACTGCCCAGCAAAGTGCTAGTTGAAAGAGAAGCATGAGCCCCTGGCACCAAGCCAATACTCTACCAACCTCTAAAGAGTTATGTTACCTTGATCTCATCTCATCTCGACAATGTTTTCCATAGTTTATTCCCCTTTTAAGATGAAGGAAGCAACGCACAGAGACTAAGATGTGCCTGAGCTCAGCACCTGTTCGTTGAGATTATGACCCTCCTAAACCCCATCTCTCGGCAGTTTTCTCTCAGCCCACCTGCTTGTGGCACCATGAAAACCATAAAAAATTGACGACAGAGTTCCTGCTTTCAGCAGCTTATAGATCATCTTGGGCTAAATTTGGTAACTTGAATGTCACTTTTTGCAGCTCTGACCTCATGGCAAGACTATATTCCTAAGGCCTTGATCAATACCTGTTGCCTAGAGCAAACTGACATTGATTAGGCAAGAGCTTGGAACAAAGTAAGCAATCAATAGACAGAGCTTCCCCAATAAGTGCATTTCTACAATGTCTATATGAGGGACCCACAAGAGGGCCTTCTGACTGTGGGGGTGCAGCACCCAGGGGTCATACATTGATGCTGTGTTTTTACAGCCAATACAATATATTTAGTTAGGCTATATTTACATGGGGTGACTTGAGGAAGGGCTGATGGAGATTTGAGGAGGTAGACAAAAGCTGGCCCAGCCGCTCCTTGATACCACCAGTCTCCCGTGCAATCCACTGTCCGTGGCAGCTCGGAAGAGAGGAATGAACAGTCCCTGCACCGCAAAGCTCGCCTGCTGTTTGGATGTGCGCATTAAAACAAACCACCCAGCAAACAATAGCTAACAAATTATGGCATAGACCAGATGAGTCGGGGGCACACAGGTGAGTGGGGGTGGACCCATCAGTGTTCAGGAAAGCTTCTCGGGGAAAATGAGATTTTGGAGCATGGCTGGGTGGCTGATGAGGGAGTGTGATTTTTGGTGGAGAGAAAAGTATGGACAAGGGATAGTGAAAAGGTTCACGTGAGCATATCGGAGGTCAGTGAACTGAGCAGGTTAACTGGTGCAAAGGGCTCATGTGGGCAGAGGAAAACTGTTACGCAGGTGCTGGGGACCCAGCAGGAAATAGAGCGTGTGCCCCAAAATGCGCCGGGCGTGTCCCTATTGGGGCGGCACAGCCCTGCACGCCCTGGCAGCCCGGCTTTGACCTGCGCTCCCGCCCGCGGAGAGGGGCTCCCGTTTCAGGCCACTGTTCCCTGCAGCCGGAGCCCCCCGCCCGCCCCCGGCCGCTGCACGGCCCGAGGCGGCACAGGCACGGGAGTCCCGACCGCTCCGCTGCGAGGAATCACCGCCCGTCGTCCTCATGAATAAAACACGGCCCAGGCGGAGGAGGGGCCCAGCCCGGCCGCCTTGGCCAGTCGGGGGTTCAGGGAAGGGAAGGCGAGGCCGGTTACGAGATAAAAGAAGCCAACGGAAACCTCGGATATAAAAAGAAGAGGGTGTTCTTTATTTTTTATTTTTTATTTTTACACGCCTGGACTTCTACTTGTGGCAGCGGGGCCAGCCCTGCCGCCCCGGCATGAGAAGGCTCTAGGGCGCTCGCGCGGGGACCATGGTGCTGCCTTCGCGGCTGCACCGGGTCAGCAGCAGGCCGTGGAGGGACCGGAGGCGGAGGCGGCGACCCGGCCGTGAGTGCCCCACAGGTGTGCCCGCCCCCTCCCGCGGCCCCCCGCCCTGTCCCCTCGCCCCCCGCCGCCGCACACACACTCCTTCCCGCCCCCGGTGCAGATGCGGGTGCGCGCGGCCCTCCCGCGCCTTCCCTGCCCGGTGGTTTTCGTCTTCACCGGCTCCGCTCTCTGCCCGTTTCCTCCCCGCAGCTCCGTCCTGATCAGAGGTAACTGAATACTCCGCTTCAAGAGGCGGACAGGAGAGAGCCCCTTTTATTTCTCCATCTTGATGGGAAGTACAGATCAATATTTACGCCTGTCAAGCTGTAATCGGAAATTTTGAATTGGAAATTTCTGTGAATCGGAAATTTTATTACAGGGGGAAGAAGTGCAATGTCTGAATCAAACAGATATCAGCAATGTAGCTAGAGTGGGAGAAACTCAAGGACCAGGGAATCACATTTCCTTTAAAGGAGCCGATCATGTATCTCTTAAATGATCAGACTCACACTAAGGTTCCCCTGGACTTGACAGGAACTCTCACCAAAGGGGAGATTTTAGTGTTGAAGTAATCTGAGAAAGAAAAAGCATTCCAAGTATATGCCAGGACTATTACTCACCAATAAGTAACATATTTGTTGTGTGTGTCTGTTGCTGAAAAAGTATTTTTAACTCAAATGTCAGAAAACTCAAAAAGCTTAGGCTGCTGAGGCAGGTGAGTGAAAGGGTTGTTTTCATGGCAGTAAAGAATAGATCACTTTCTTCTTGTCTGTCACAAGAAAAACAACAGTGAAACCATGATGACAAACTACAACTGACATTTGGCCTCAGTCTGAGGAGGCATTAGGGAACGGTAAAGACTGCAGTAAATGGGAACGTGCTTGTCCTGTCATAGGAGAGCAGCCATCATTCTATGTCATCAGATTGTTTTCAGGAGGAATGGGGGTCCAACAGTTGCCAGGTTTCCCAACCATTCAAGAAAGTAAGAAAAAAAAAGCGAATTTCTATGTGAAAGCTCTCAAGTCTAAGCAATGCCAGTTGCTTTGTTAGATTTTAAATACAGTCATAACCAATAGTATGCTCTGCTACAAAATGTGACAACTGTGGGCCACTAAGCCCTTGGTTAAGTGCAAGGTGGTGGTGTCATTACAGGCCCATTCCATGGTGTTATTTAAGCCTAGTTATTTGCTAGTGTGTTTTTCGTATGTGTTAAAAGCCCCTGGTGAAGACAGTTAAATTAAGATGGATGTGTGGTTTAGAAACATAAATAATAAACACAGTCACACTACTATCTTAGGAGGCCACACTGGGCTGGTTGATTCCAAATAGCACCCTGCAAACATGGGACTGTACCCAGCAAAATCTCTTTAATATAACTGAAGGAGTCATTAGTAATTTTCCTAGAGCCTTCACTTCCTTATTCATGTGTTTCTTTCAGTTGATTCAAATTCCACTTTTTGTGACACCTCATTCTGTGTCTATAAGAAAACAGCTGGGGTCCCGTAGATTTAGGACAGCACTTTTACTGTGGGAAAAATCACTGGGAGAGGGTGGAGAGTGGATGAGGTATGAGAAAGGAGGTGTTGTTGATAGGGAGTCAGCCTCCCCTCTAAAAAGAACTTGGGGGAAAGGCCTGTTTCATTTTAGCAATTTTACTTAAATCATGAGACAAATATCTATGATATGATTTCTGCATGATTTTAATATGAAACAATGATGTGTTAATAAAGTTTATTTCAAATTTGACATTAAGCAAGCTAGTCCTGGACTCTGGCAAAGTGTCTGAGGAAGGAGGGGATTCTAACATTCCTCCAGTCCACCCTGGAGGCTGCAGTGGAGTCAGCGTGAGTTAGAATAGCCGCTGGATCAAGTGATATTGTTTTGGGGTGATTTTTCCAGCCCATGAAAACACCTGTGCATGTTTGAAGGCAGGGATTTAGAGGCAGTGGAGAGGGAAGGAAGTGAAGGCCCCGAGAGGAAAGGAACAATGAAGAAGCTTCTCGGTGCAAATACCAGCCCACAAAGCTGGCCCTAGACACTGTTTTGCAATTGCTGAAATAGATGCCCTCAGCAACTAAAGGCTGCCCGCTGTTCTCTGCCATGTGGCCCTTCCTACAACATGGCAGCTCTGCTTCCACTGGGGAGTGTCTGTTGTCCCTTGCAATCTCTCCGTGAAAGAGCTCACCTGACTAGGTCTGGCCCAAGATAATCTCCCTTTTGATTAATTCAAAATCAGTTGCTCAAGTATGATTACATCTTCAAAATCCTTACTCTTTGCTGTAGAACACGACCTAATCGTGAAAATAGACTCTCACCATATCCACAATTCTTACTAACACTCTAGGTAAGGGAATTACAGCACATATACACGGGCAGGAATGATGGACCCATTTTAGGCTTCTGCTTACTACAAAAGCCAGTTGTCTATAGAACCTGGATTTTGAGCTACTAGAGATCTTTGTTTTTCTTTTTTACTTTTTAATATGAAAAAATTTAAGGAAAAATATTATTATTTCTACAAACATGTAGAAAGTAGAGAAAACAGTATAATAAATCCCATATACACATCACCTAAATTTAATAATTGTTAAAGATTTTGCCACATTTACTTTACCTACTTTCCTGCTGAAATATTTTAAAATAAATTATAGATATTATGACATCTTAACCCTAAATATTTCAGTAAGAACATCTCTAAAGTATAAGGACTTTTTCTACATAACTGCCTAATAAAATTAACAATAATCCCTCAATACTAGTTAATGCACAGTCCATATTCAAATCTCCCCAGGTAAAAACTAATTCTTAATGCACTCTGCCTATAATCCTTAGCAAAATTCCTGGCACCCAGCATACTCAATATAGGTTTGAGTTCAAAGTTATATTCATATTTGATTCCCAAAGTCCGTCTGCCCTTAGTGCCCATCACTTCTTTTCACTCCTGGAGTCTGTAGTGAGATATGCATATTATTTACTGTCTGTAGTAATGTGGGGTGGAAATTAATGGAACCAAGATATGAGAGTTGTAAATGTATTACTGTTCTGAGGGATATTTGCTGAAAGAGGCCATCAGAAAAATATGCAAATATGTTACAGTGGGCAGACATTTTGAAGACAGGCTCATCTGAAATCATATCAAGCTGCTTACCTGAGACCTCTGCACGTAAAGAGAGTAGCTGACAGCAATAACTCAGCAGGTGCCTGCATTTTCTCAATGATGACAGCAGTGTCAGGGCAGGGTAGTGAGGGGTGATCACAGATAAGAGGGTGCCCTGTGAGCCTTTCTTTCCTTTGGTTTGCTAAAGTTAGGGGAGGTTAAAAGAAAGCAAGCCTGGAAAGCATATAAGCATTGATAACAGGGAGATTTAGCTTCAAATCTTCTACAACTTCTTAGCTATTAGCCTATGGGCAAGTCACTCCACCTCCCAATATATTTCCTTCCTTAAACACAAAAATGGTTATCATAACGATATCAACCTCACAGTGGTTATTGGGGAGATTAAAAGACATGAAATGTCCCAACCACCTAGCACGGTGCCTGGCACATGGCAGCAGTAGCTATTAAGATCTGACGACCTAGAAGTAATGGTGGCATTCCGGAAAGTATAAGGAAGCCATAACTGCCACCATCATGCTTTTGGGCTGTGGGAAAATGCCATGCTGCAGAAGGCAGCCCCTCTTCCTCAGCCCCTAGTGTCACCCTACCTCCATATCCCAACAGCTTGCACCACACCAGGCAGGGGGAAACCCAGCCAGCCAGGGAAAAAGCACTCTTGCCCCTGGGGTACAATTAACTCCGATTCTGGGAAGTGAGGTGAGTGTTTTCCCCACGTGGATCCCCAGCCTGTTTTCAGTGTAAATCAATGCATCCACATGACATAGCCAAGTGGAACTTACTATTTCACCTCCTTAAAAGGTTGCACTCCAAGTCTTGGTCAAGCTCTGATGGAGGAGGCCACACGGTGACACCCTCTGTGAGCCCCAATCAGAGGAATGGTAACAGGTTTTCTCTGTCCCTGAAAAGACGATAGTAACGAAGCTGCCAGGCATCTGAGATCAGGGAATGCTGCCGCCCCACCGGGACTTCCTTCCCGGGATTAGTGCGGCTGGGTTGTCTACCTCTGCTTGTTTGGCCCTGCTCCCGGCTCGGTACGGTGATATTCTTAATTGTGGCAGGGCAAGAAGGGACCTGTAGGCAGTGGTCGGAGGTCTACAGACTGAACTGTCTACACTATGGTTAGGAGCAAGGGTGTGATCTGGCTGCCCTTGACTGCCAGTTCTATACAAGAAGGCAAGAACCCACCTGATTATTCTCACCCCATGTGGCTTTAGAGGGCACTCTAGTTCATAGAAAGGTCTTAGAGTCTCTTCTCAACACCCCTGTGTCTCCAGATGAAGCTGAGGCCAAGGGCCAGTGCTGGGCAGGCCCCTGAGAGCCAGAGGGCCCTGGGGTACGGGGGGTGTGCAGGGCGCCTCTCCCAGCAGCCGCCTTCCACACCAGGCCACCACTCTGCAGATGGCACTTGCTTGCGAAAGACCCAGCATCAGCTTACAGAGCAGCCCAGTTTGCGATCAGCTTTCTTCCCTGGCTCACCTGCTATCTGGCAAGGATGGGCAGCTGTGCTATTGGGCCCCAACAACTCTTATATTTCTCCCCAGGACTCCTCCCTCTGGGATTTTGCACTGGCTTGGGGAAGCCATGTGGCTGCATATTTAGCTTTTCATCATCAATGCAAACACTCAAATGTCCCAAACCAAAGCAGAAGCCAGTCTGCTGCCTTTCCCACCCTGGGTGCCTTGGTGCATCCTGTTGTTCTGAATCCTCCTAAATGTAGGATTCCTTGTGCAGCCGCTGCTGCGTCAGGCTGGGCCCTTCTGTCCGTCTCGCTCCTGGCGCATTCCTCACTTGGTTCTTGTTTCCTTTAAAACCATCAGCTTAAAGATTTGGTGGGAGGTAACTAAGGAGGTGATGTAAAAAACAAAGAAAGAAGTCTTTTAGAACATTCTCTATAACCCCCAGGTCCCGTATGCTCCTT